TTAGGAAAGGGATAGATAATAAGACAAAATATAATGCCACTATATAAATCCATGGTTCATCCACATCTTGAATACTGCATGCAGTTCTGGTCAACTCATTTCAGAATATATTTGATTTGGAAAAGGTACAGAGAAGGGCAACAAAAATGATATGGGGTAGGGAACAGCTTCTATATGAAGAAAGATTTAGACGAGTGGGAATGTTCATCTTAGAAAAGAGATGATTAACCATTGATATGACAGAGGTCCATAAAATCATGAGTGGTGTAGAGAAACCAATTGTTATTTACCCCTTCATACAAGAACGAGGGTCACCCAATGAAATTAATAGACAACAGGTTAAAAACAAACATAAGGAAGTACGTCCGCACACAATTCACAGTCAATCTGTGGAACTCATTGCCAGAGGATGTTGTGAAGCCAAAAGTATAATTGGGTTAAAAAAAGAATTAGGTAAAGTCATGTAGGATAGGTCCATCAATGGCTATGAGGCAAGATGGTCAGAGACGCAAAGCCATGTTCCAGGTGACCCTAGCCTGTGACTGCCAGAAGCTGGGAGTGGATCACAGAGGATGGATCACTTGAAAATAGCTGTGTTCTGTTCATTCCCTTTGAAGCTTTTGGAAGCTGACTGCTGTCAGAAGACAGGATACGGAGCTAGATGGACCATTGGTCTGACCCATTATGGCCACTCTCATATTCTTATTTACTGTTGCAAAAAAAGGGAACATCATTCTGGGATGTAGTAGCAGGAGTGTTGTAAGCAAGACAAGAAATAATTCTTCCACTCTACTCAGCACTGAAAAGGCCTTAACTGGAGTACTGTATCCAGTTCTGGGCGACCACACTTCAGGAAGATGTGGACAAACTGGAGAAAGTCCAGAGGAGAGCAACAAAAATGATCAAAGGTCTAGAAAACATGATCTATGAGGAAAGACTGAAAAAAATGAGTTTGTTTAATCTGGAGAAAAGAAGACTAAGGGGAGACATGAGAACATGAAAGTATGTAAAAGGTTGTTAGAAAGAGAAGGATGATAAACTGTTCTCCTTATCCACTGAGACTAGGACAAGAAGTAATGGGCTTAAATTGCAGCAAGGGAGATTTAGGTTAGACATTAGGAAACACTTCCAAACTGTTAAGAGTAGTTAAGCACTGAAACAAATTACCTAAGGAGGTTGTGGAGTTTTTAAGAATAGAGAATACTTAGTTCTGCCTCAGTTCAGGAGGCTTGACTAGATGATCTATCGAGGTCCCTTTCAGTCCTACATTTATATGACTATGATCTGATCTTATGTATGAGAAGTATAGCATATAGTTCCCAAGATTACCTTGAGTAACAGAATTAATTTTCTGAGATTTTATAAGTAAATTTGTTAATTAGATTGGGAATTAAAATTAAAAGTGAGCCTTTTAATAAATTTTGCATAGTGACAGATTTTTCAGCTCCTAATCTCAATAAGAACACCACAAACTCTTCACACTTCCCAAAAAGTTACTCATTTCACTATAGTGCAGTCTTGAGTTCACTTCCCCCCCACAGAATTAATGGTGATTCTTTCTGTTATTCTTCATAATGGAAACTTTCTCCTTCAGTAGAGGCTGAAGGGTGCAATGTTCTACTTCAGAGAACTCCCAGAACTCCTACCTTCTTTCAAAATGGTGATCATCTCCTATTGTTAATGGGACTAAAGCCACAGTGCCCTCACAGTTGGTGACCATTTTGAGAAGGGTACATTTTGTCTCTCTCATCGTTCTCAATGGGATGGAGTGTCTCCAGCTGTTCACAGCATAGGGGCAGACCATCTTCCCTGATGGTACCTGTTGGCTTCAGTCCCATTGACAACAAAGAGAGGGCAGACATTTCGAACAGGAGTAACTGAAAATTTCAATTATTAAAATAAAAGAAAGACCATTAATCCCTAAATATCTTCTAAAAAACTACCCATTGCACATGAGACACAAAATGAGTTACACCTAGCCAGGGACAGAAAACACAACAAAAAAAGGTTACTGTAAACATGTTAGGAACAAGAGAAAGATTAAGAAGGCGAGCTAATAGCGGATGACATCAAGAAGTGTTTAAAGCCTGGTTTGCTTCAATCCTCACTAAAACGGTTAATTGTGAACAGATACTAAACACAATAGTAACAAGAAGGAAGATAAGCCAAAGTAGAGAAAGAATGGGTTAAAGATTATTTAGATAAATAAAAATCAGCAGGGCCTGATAACTTTCATCCTAGGGTACTTAAGGAACTACCTGAAAGAATCTCCGAACTGCTAGCGATTATCTTTGAAAACTCATGGAGGATTGGTGATGCCCCAGAGGACTGGAGAAAGGCAAACAAACAAACAGAGTATGTATCTTTGAAAAGGGGAACAAAGAAAACCCGGGGAATTATAGGCCAGTCAGCTCAACTTCTATACCTGGAAAGAAACTGGAATAAATTAAACAATTCTTAAACACCTAGAGGATAATATGGTAGTAAGCAACAGCCAGCATGAATGTGTCAAGGGAAAAAACAAAACAAAAACAGGTTTGTTTGACATAATTGCCTTCTTTGACAGGATTACTGGCCTAGTGGATGGGAGGGGGGAGCAGTAGATGTGATATGTCTTGATTTTAGTAATGCTTCTGACATACTCCATCATGACATTCTCATAACCAATGTGTGTGGTCTAGATTAAATTACTATAAGGTAGGTGCACAACTGGTTGAAAGACAACACTCAAAGAGGATTTATCAATTGTTCATTGTCAAACTTTGAGGGCACATTATGTGGAGTCCCATAGAGGGGTCAGTCCTGGGTCTAGTACTATTCAGTGTTTTCATTAGTGGAGAGTATGCTTATAAAAATCTGCAGATGACACCAAGCTGGGAGGGGTGCAAGCCCGTTGCAGGACAGGAAGCTCTTCAAACATCATACTTCGTGTCACAGTGAGTACTGAAAGCAGCCAACCTTCATAATTGGGAAAACAATGATTACACCCTATGTCTTGAATATCAATATTATACTGGGATCTCTATTGCCAGTCAATTCAAAGCTATTTCCCTCTCCAATTATGCAGTCAATTGACAAAACCATGACATGGCTGCAGATGTTCAGGAACAGCTGTTTATACTGTTCAGGGCCAATATTTCTCAATACAACTGTATGAAACTACATGTGCATTTTCCCCTAGCTATCATATATACTGTCTTAGTGGGAACGAGCCATAGATGAGGACTGCCTGCTTTACAGTGGACTGAGCGCACATGGTATGGGGGGAAAAGGGTCTTTGAAGCTTTGCGACAATCATCTTTCCAGAAGAGTTGGATTGGCAATGATGTGTGTATTTGCATTAATGGTGCTCAAACTACAACAAAAAACTGTAACCTTGTTACTAGAATCTTGCTGATTGCACTCCAAGCCATTTGGACTCCCTGTTCAATTCCCTGGGAAGTTTTTGAGGGAAGGCAGATGCAGGTGAAACTGAAAGAGGCTGTAAAAGTTGTGAATTTTAATAAAGGAAAGCCTAGTACAGGCCTCTTTGATATCGTACATAAAGAAATGGGTACTTGACATTGGCCTTTCTTACTCCATACTGAACTTCATTGGCTTTCATGTAGCAAAGCTTTTAATTGAGTGTTTGAAAAGCAACAATAGATTTTTCTTGATGCATTTGGCTCTGCTCTTGTGAATATTTCACTGACTAGCACTGGCTTGCACTGAATGCTTCTCTTCAGGAGCAGAATTTTGTGCTCCTTATTGCTAACTGTCAGGGGGGCTTGGTTCAGTACCTGTATGGAAAAGGTTGAGAACCACTGTCTTAATCATATGAATACTGCATGGCGTCACCACCAGGCACTTAAACAATCTTAACTGTGCCCTATCTGTGCATTTGAAGAGCAGCAGTGAAGACTGCCAATTCTCTGAGGAATACGAAGAAACCATAATGCACCTCGTCACAGTGTTGCTAGGGAGAGTATGTGGTTAAGGAAAATGGGGTGAGCATAGGACATTCCGTCCTTACCCATGAAGTAATCCCTTTGCTTTGAAGCATGTGATGATCACCTGCATCATCTTAGAATATATGTAGTTCTGCAGACTTAGTGTCAATATTTTCAGAGCCTTTTAAAAATCTATTCACAACTATTGGCCTTGGTTTTCTGTGGTAATGAACGCCTCTCCCTTTTAACACATTCCATTCTTCTCTCCACCAATGGCAAACAACTTAAGTTGTTAAGACCCCATCTTCCCTAACTGAAGCAAAGTGCAAGTATCCTACTATAAATATTAGACAGGCACTATCTCCTTGTTCTTCAGTTGCATTATCTGTCTGCCACCAGCCGTCAGCATAATTTGAGTGCCTTTCACATAAAAATCAACAGCAACAGCTAAGTCCATAGTGGATTTCATGGAACCTCTGGCTTTTCTTTTTGTGGTAAAAAGTCCAGTTGGGGTAGCGTTTTTGGTTTTGATTGTTTAGGTTTTCTTCATTAATTTTTTGGGGGAAGAGGTTTGTTGGAGTTGTTTTTTTTAGTAGAAGGGTGTGTGTCAATGTGGTGTGTCGTTCTTTGGACAGAAAGGCGTTTTTAAAGAGGAAAGTTTTGCATTGTTTCTCATGACACTCAGACTCTAGATTTACCTAATCACCTCTAGAAGTTCGTCCCATAGCTGGATCTCCACAACCAACACCAGAGATAAAATGGATTTAAATAAAGCAGGACCTCTGAGAAAAGACTGCTTCTAAATCAAGCTTTTATGGAGAAGCAGTACTTAACTAACTGCTTCCTCCCTCGCAGAATTTCTCCATGACTGCACCAGATGAAGATGAAGCCCCATAAAACTAACAACGGTGTTAAAACTTACAGCTCTTTTGAAAAATAATGCTTTTGTTTCTACCACATGTTCCAAAATAATTCTGTTGAAATATAAATAAAACTGATAGACCCTAAGGAATTCCCCTTAGAACAGTCCCCTTTTGCAGGAAAAAAGGCAGGAAAGACAACATTACTCACCGTGGAAGCTGCAGAAAAGACTGGAGGAAAAGGGATTCCTGTATCTAGTGGGACCTGGGGCAGCTTTCCTGGCCCAGAGTGTAGCAGATCTCTGAGACTGGAGCCTTCAGCTTTGTTACTAGATGCAACTGGGCCCAACAAGAGACTATTAAACAATTTGGGGGTTAATGGAGAAACCTTTGTACTGGAGTTGAAGGAATCCAATCCAAAGGGCGAATGGGATTCTTTATTGAGCACCGATCTCAGGGATCCAGCTTCTGTAAGGAAGATAAATCACAACTGGGTGAGACAAACATCATTAAAGATCCACAAAAGGGAAAGTCCTGTGAAGAGGACTGTCCAAGTATTATCTTCCAATATAACATGGCTATAATCCTGTGACAAATCACAGTACAGTTTACCTGGATGTTAAGGCTCAAGAATGATATTGTACAATACTGGATGAGGCACTGAGGTGTCTTTTGCAAATTTAAGCATCCTGTTTCAGCTATGCCTCACCAACAGCCTTAATACATCATGGTAGGTTAAGAATTTGAATGGTCCAGTAGATGATTTGGACCTGAAGTATTTAATTTACAAGGAACTGCACTCTTGTTTGAATCAGATGCTCACCAACTAATGCTTTCGCCTTCCAAATTAGTTCTGGATTCTTCTGAATGAACAAAGAACCCTTTTGCAGGATTTTAAATGCAGTAGAGAACACTACTGTTGATTAGGCCTATAGAACTAAGGAAACATTTGTGAACATGAAATTGAAAAGCGAAAACAGAAGAGATTTTCTGGGATTGTTAAAAAAATGTCTATCACAGATAACCATGAACAAAATATAAAATTGTGTGCTATAATTCCTGTACTTCTAGCTATGTACAGTATACAAGAGCTAGCCCAGCCTGTCTTGAATGTAATGCTGCCTTTGTGAATAGGTCACTCTCTTGACAGTTATATCCTGTAAGATATATTTCTGCAATGAAGCATTTCTTTCCTGATGTGTAAGTAGGTAGGTAGGTGTGTGTGCGCGTGTGCGTTTAAAAGTCTTCAACTGGAACACCCCTTCCTTAAGCATACCTTCAGCCTCTAGGTGCTTAGGAAATGCACTCTTTATATTGCAAGCCAAACACCAACATTAATTTTAGCACCAGTTTCCTTAAAGTAACTAATTCTTATCTGAAGTGAATGTTAATTAGACTTTACATCAGGAGATCATTTCTGCATACTCACAGAAGAGACACAGCATATGTAACAGAATGGGTACTGGATAAATATGCCCACCCCTCCAGCCTCCCTCCCCGCTCCCATATCCCTCCAGCTCCTGCATGTATGTTACTTCACAATCTCTTTCAGGAGGTTTCTACATGGTTAACCCCTATTTAAAGAAAAAAGATCCAAAGAGGCAAGTGCAGAGGAATGACCCTGGTCTTCCCTAAGCACTAGGGACTCCCTCCAAAGATGGTAACCAAGCAGCACTCCTTTGCTACCAAACATTAAGGGGGGAGATCTTTTCCTCACCTTTTGTTTCTTCTTTTGCTTTTTGTGTTGCTAAATCTGCAAGCCAGTGCAAGGCTGATGAGGGGGATGTTTCTGGACACAGTGGCCTGCTAGATTTTGTTTCAGTGGGGTTGCTGGTTGGCGAGGTCTCTGTTTTCGCAGACTCCTCAGTTCTTCCATCTGTGGCCTCAGGTTTAGGATCAGTGTCCATTTCTAGCTGCCCCAATCCTACTGTCCCTGCCCCACTGGAGAAGGTGCCCTCACTTCCAGAGGCTGATGCACCAGGATTTATACTGGGAAGCTAAAAACAAAAAAGATCACACATGCTGCAGTCAAATGCTGACTTTGGGAAGGGAATTAAATTTTTGACGGACCGGGGGAAAAAATTAACCAGACAACAACAATATGACATGGTGGGCTGTGAGGCTGGTAGAGGGCTGAATACATTTCATCTTAAAAGAATGTGGAGATTATTGATTTTCTAACTCCAAAGCCATGAAGATTCTTGAAATGGCCTGAAGACCTTCAAGATTTGAATGTTCAGTGACCAATCAGATCTGTACTTTTATGAATGATAATCTGGGACAGGCCTGTATGCATCCATCTCTATCACCTAGCACAGTGGAGCCCCAATCCCAATAAATATGGAGATTGTGGGGAGCTGAGAAGGGCAAAGTAACATTGCAATAACTCCCCCCCCCTTTTTTTTCTGATCCACTCATCAGCTCTTGCCACATGCTTAAACAGTCCTTGCTACAAAGAGCTCACCTTTTATCATATGCCAAGGACAATGGGGTTCCGATACTTAACTGGGGTCTTTAAGTGCTACACTAACACATGATGATATATTTATGAGCAGTCTTTTTGCATTACTTTGTGTTTTTATTTTATGGAATAGGCATCTCGGGATAGGTGCCCACAGTCCCATTTTAGAAATCTGAATAAATATTTCATACTGGCAATAAAACACAGGCACATGTGAAATGCCAGACTGATCAGACCCACACTTCATCTAATCCAGCATCCACTGCTTTAAACAAAGGCATTATACGATTTTCTATACTATTCTCAATCCCATTCCATTCCTGCAGCTTCACATTGAGCGGGGGTTTTCATTAAGTGAATAGGAAATAATAAATGCCTCTCTCTTATGTACTATTTTTCATCAGTAGATCTCAAATCACTTTACAAAGGTAAGCATCATTAACCCTCCAGTGGCCAAGTCAGGAATAGAACCAGAACTCCTGAGTTCCAGTCCAGTGCTCTATCCACTAGAGCAGTGCTTCTCAAAGTGGTGGTCCGCGGACTGGTGCCGGTCCACGGTGAGTTTCCTCATAAGAGCGTCAAATAGGATAACATGGCACCGGTCCCTGGCACACTGGGGAAAAAAGTTGCCAGTTCCCCACATCAGACAGCTTGAGAAGCACTGCACTAGACCACACTGCCTCTTCACTGAGCTCTACAATGATACCCAGGTCCCTCTCCAGAGTTATTTAGTTTTAGAACCTTGTAAGGTCCATTGCAGTTTAATTTTTTCCCCACAACTTGCAGACATTGTCATCATGCTGCCCATTCACCTAGCGTGGTTAGGTCTCAACTTCCTAACAATCTTCTCTGACTTATTTAAATAACTGTTACAAGAAAATTTTGCTCTCTCACTACTCACTCCCCTTTCCAGATCATTAATAAAACATATTAAACACTGGACTTATTACAGAACCTTGTGACACCCGGATGTTAATTTTCATCCTGGCAAAAGATTAACTATTTAATTCCACTCTGACTTATGACAGTACTGTAGCTTATTTCTCATTAATTATTATTTTCCTTGGCTGTCTCTTGAGTGGGACTTTATCAAAGGTCTTTTGAAAGTCTAAATAGTTAGATCAACCGCTTCTCCTTTATCCACAACTGTATTGAAACAGAGAATTCTAACAGATTAGAGAGACCGTTTTTCTTTACAGACACTGTGATAGTTAGACTATTCTATCATGACTAAGGCTGCGAGTTTGTCACGGAGGTCACAGATTCTGTGACTTTCCATGACCTCTGTGACTTCTGCAGCGGCTGGTGCGCCTGGCCTGGGAGCCGCCCGTGTAACTCAGGCAGCCCTTGGGCCAGTCTCACTGGCTGCTGCTGGGGCAGTCTTGAGCCACCACGCTCCCCTCTCCCAGCAGCAGCATTATTTTGGGTGTGGGAGGGGGCAGGGGCATGGGATGGGGTGAGGGCTCTGGACAGCACTTACTTTGGGGGGCTCCCCGGAAGCAGCAACATCCCTCAGCTCCTAGGCAGAGGCGTAGCCAGGCACCTCTACAGGCTGTCTTCAACCCAAG